TACATATATATATATATAGTTATATGATGCATTTCCTCCCTTCCGAGCCTTGAGATTCACGGCGTCGACGAAGCCCTTGGCCATAGCATAGAGGAGCAAGTAGGCCATGTTTCCGTCCAGGGCAGCCTACCGGCGGCTTTGCAAGCGGTCGAAGGGGTCTCAAACGGTCCCAGACTCTTCGCTTGTGTCCGTGCCTCGTGTATGCTGCCGCAGTTTCGCGGGTCCTTCCAGCAGCTGGTTTCCAGCTTGGCATTGTGCCAGTACCTGGCACCTGGATCTCCCACCTGCAACAGCCGACGGGCGAAGTGCAACACTGCCGAATTTTCCCTCCGAGTTGCGAATAAGCTCGAGGTTTGCAGCTGTCAGCAGTTGATTTCGATTCTCACGCTCACACAAGCCATGGGTAAGACATCGGCGACGGACCCAAAAACAACCAGCCCCAAGCATCAAGAGCCAAAGACTACAAGACTCCACGACAGTGGATCTCACGGCACACAGGCTACTATCACACTCCAAACAAACAAAGCCAACGCATGCCAACGCCAAACCCTGCCCTCGCGAACACACCACGCATGGCACCAATCACCTGTCCGCTCACCGGCCATTTCGGCACTGTACCCGCTTCCTGCTTTTCCTCAGGAGTTTGGGAACCCGCAGCCTGCCAAATTTTTGAGCGACCCTCCGCCAATGCTGCTAACCCGATCCGTTGTTGCACTGCTTTCTCTCGGCGCCGATTGAAGGGGAATGCAGTTTCGAGGGAGATGAAAGGGAAGCTCGGGTGACGGGAGCGGAAGGGCGAGAGGGGAAGGGAGAGCTCCAATGGACAACAGTGACACCAGCATGAAGGTTGGCTTTAGAATGAGAACCAGCTCGAGACTCTTCAACAGGCCAGCGAAAGGAAACGTCAACATCTTGGCAAAAGCTCTGCTAGGTTGGTGGCTTACTCCAAATATCAGGGTCGCTGGTGGAGGTTCGAGAAACGCTGAGTGAGATTCGTCGTGCCAGCGCCTCGCGCCACTCTCCCAGCACGTCTATCAGCTCCGGAGGTGTCTCCTTGCTGAAAACACACAAGGCATCTGCAACTTGTCCATCTCTATTCCGATGTGCGTTTCGGTGGAGTAAGGCCGACTCCCACTGGGTGGTGCCCGAGGCCACGTGGTGATGGAAGAAACGTCCACCTGGCCTGGGACGTAGTGCGGCACATCACCCAAGCAGTGCTCGGAGTCTCAACTGCGAAACTCAGCCGTGTGCGTGCACTCCAACGTCCATCCATGCCATGCTTCCTCCACAGGCGCTTCTTCTGAAATGCCTGCCGATGTGGCATCGCAGGGGAATGTGCCAGAGTGCTGCTACTAAAGTCTGTCTTGAAACTCATTCGACGGCCTTGTCGACGTCCTCGCACCTGCGGTGACAGATCATGCTAGTGAAATTGGTGGATGCAGCCTACAGGGTGTGCGGCTCTTTTCCCGTGCTTGCTGCAGGAGCTTTTCGAATTGCAACTGTCCCTTGCTTCCGTGAATTCCAAGTGGCCCTGGCAAAGCGCACAGCCGGCATTCGGCCAAGAACAAGTCTCCACACGGAGAGTTTGTGAAAAGTTGGCGGGCCGAGCCCGCAAAACAGTGCTGACGAGACTGCACCGAATTTAAGCTAGGACATGAATTCGAGAGCTAGAATCGGTCACCTACCTTGCAGATATTTATTTCATGGAAAGTTGTCAAGAAGTCCTGCCAGGTCATGCAAAAGACACCGCGGTCAGATCCATGTATCTTCTGCTTCAGCGCAGGGGTCCACCTAGGGCAGCGCGGACACCAGGGCCCCGTGTAATTCGTCCGACCATGGGGATCGCGAAGCTTAACCAGCGACAACACTTCACCAGTCAAGTCCAGAATGATTGACATGGTTTCCAGAACGGTGTAGGCATGATTTCTCTGCAGGCCAGTCTTAGTCATGGAGCCAGTGTCACCAAAGAATGACGGCGAGAGATCGTAGATGGCCGCCGTCATCAAGATGCCTGATCTCTGGTACTCGCTCAAATCCTTCCAAAGCTGGCGCTTCTCTTTGGGGAAAAGCTCGGTGAGATCAATTTGGAAAGTGCTCTGGCCTGTCAACATGACCAGCGCATCGGCCAGTTTGACGTAAGAGGTGTCGGCATAGCTTCCACATACTTTTGCAAAGGCCTTCTCGAGAAGGCACGGCCACACCTTGTTCTTGGAAAACTGGCAATTCTCCAGCCTCCCCATGCTGTCTATGGGAAGCCGATCGTCGACCACGATGCTGCGCCAGGAGCCTTTAGTCAGCGTCTCCGATCTTGACGTGGTGTCCAGTATGATCCTGTCCTGGCCACTCTTTAGACTCGGGTGATGCTTCTTGAATCTATCAAGGTTCGAATTCTTCGTGTGTAGGAACAGGGAGACCACGTAGCAGCCAGATGGGTTCAAGGGGGGATCCTCATGACCCTCATCTTGAAATTGTGGGAAGAGCTGACGCACCAAGTAGCCATCATGATGGTCCGCGATGGCTGCCATGGCCACAAGAAGCCCGCAATTGGGAGACTCGCGACCCTGAACCACGTCAAGCGCCATGGGCCTGTCACACCAAAGCCTGAGGCTTGGAGCCTCCATGTGCAACACCAGGCGGATGAAGCTGCCGATGCTCTGCTGGAAGTCCGCATCCTGCATGTCCTTGTCAGGGCTCAGAGAGCTGGACTGGTTGCACTAAGGCCTAAATCTTCAAGCAAAGCACGCGCACACGCACACCATTGCACACCTACCTCGCTCCTCGAAAAGCTCGCCGGACTCTGCATAGCACTCCTCCGCTTCAGCGAGCTGGGCCTCCGCGTAGGCCGCCGAGGCCTCATGTGTTCGGGCGCTGCAGTATTGCTCCTGCTTCTGGGCCGCCGCCTGCATGGCGTTCTTTAATGTTGCGTTCATCGGCATCTCACAGAAGAGGGCATCCCAAAGGTGGGTGAAACTGAACTCCGGGTCAGCCTCCTCGCCCCAACTCGGCAGCATGTCGCCCACAACTTCCACTTCCTGCTGCATGTCCTCCATGTCAAGCACAGCACAATCAGGATCCATCTCCCCAACAGAACGAATCTGCTGCGTCCACGGGTAAAGATGCTTCCGGCATCTGTGGCCGTTGACTGTGTACGTGACTGTAATCTTCCCCGCAGAAGCAAAGAGCCACACTTTTCCAGGCACCCAAGCGTTGAGCGACTTGGAGAAAACTTCGATCTCGGCTTGGGCCGAGTCCTTGTCCCGTGGCATCGCAAGGCCGAAGGCGGCGAAGGGGGCACTTCCAGGGAGACCCCTCTTCTTACTTTCTCCCTCCCGGGATCGGAGCGGGCTCGGGCCACGGCGAAGCACGGCGAAGCACGGCGAGGTTGAAGCCAAAAGCTCTCCGGAGTAAGAGTCGAACATCCGCTTAGACTTGCAAAGCATTGCAGAGCCCTGAGGCTCGTGCCAGCAGCGATCCATTTGCTGGACTGCCGCTCAATGATGAAGCTCGGGGCGTCCTTTGAAAGCAGGAACAGTTTGTGGTGGAAGGAAAGTTGCTACCTGAATCGCGCCGTGGCTTGCGGCTCCTTGGAGACAAGCTCCGGTCTGCTAAACCTCCTGGGCGAATGCGGTTAGTTAAAACCCTTGCAGGCCGGCCGCACTGGGGTGTTCTGAGACCTGCCAAGCAGCTCTGCGTCCACTCCGGAGACGCCGCTCTGCTCACGGAGGGCGAGGCGCTGGCCATGGGGCTTGCAACACCTCCAAGGGAAACCCTCGCCTGAGGTCCCCCAGATGCGCGAGGGGTGGTAACAGGCGTCAGGGAGCCCCTCGGAGTGTGGAATTCCAAGCTTGCGCTCGTGACATTCCCGGCGAGAGAGCCAAGATCTTCTCTGCTCGCCTTCAATGTCTCGGCTTCTTCTGTCTTTTCCCTGGGCGTGTGGAAAACTTGAGCACCAGCTTGTTGGGCATTCCTGGCTGCCACAGCAGCGGCCACGACGGCCGCGAAGCAGGGAGCTTGGCCCTTTCCATCCTGCAATTGTGAAGGAAGGCTTTGCAGGGTTCGTACAGGCAACGCCCAGCCTTAGCCGTGGAGCTTGAAACTGCAACTAATGGCACCTACTGACCATTAGTGCCAATGTTGGTCCCCACAGCGGCCTTCAGGGAGCTGGTGCCTTGTCTATTTCCTGCGAAGGCACAGGACATGAGTAAAGAAACCAAGTCATAGTCAACAAACAGCCTGGATTGCTGCATACATTTGCAAACACTTCCGTCCTCGTACTACTTGGCGAACTGCTCGCTGAAATCGGCGAGAGGGGCTTTCGATGCTTTCTTCTTGCACCGAACCCGGCAAGCGCGGGAGGCCCGACAGGCCCGACTGCAGCTGCCATTCACAACACTTGCTCTTCGGCACCTCAGCATCCTCGGCATCCTGCTGTCCTGCTGCCTCCTGGAGCGCGCTGGTGGTCCCTTCGGAGACGCCAGAATGCCGTTCCTCTACCCGGCCCGATGGACTTGGCGTCTGCAAGGAGATGTGCTTGCGACTTGAAACTCCCGGAAGCTGGTTCAGCTTCCTAGGCTGCGTGCTCTGAATGCGGCAAGCACTGGGCACGAAGGAAACATAGCCAGGAAACTCCAGCAGCTCCGTGACGGAATGGTCCGTCACTTGCTGACGGCTCTTTGCTTCCTCGAGCTTCGCTTTATGGACCTGCAAAGTTTGGGGGCTTGCACTGGTTGCAAGTTGCTTCAATTTGGAACGGAATTTCCGGCAGCACGGGCCTCCAACTCGTCCGGCTCAACTTGCGACTCACTGTCACAAGCATTAATGATAAGTCCGTCTGGCCGCGTTTCCGGAAGCTGGGCGTCCTGCCTCTGAGCAGACTAAGCACGACAACATCGCGAACCCGTCTCGACTTCCAATCAAGCGTCGTCTGGGACGACTGTCTAGCTCTCAACCAAGCGGCTCGTCCAAGCGGAAAAACACGGTGCTGGGACAAGCAGGGTCAGCGCCAACAGCCATCCAACTCGTGGGGACGCTACAAAATCAAAGCGATGTCCGGTGGCTCTTGGCTCACTGCAAAAACCTATCTGAGGCTATTTGTAGGCGCCACTATCCATCCGAACATGTCATTGGCGAATCGGCCCTGGCTCCGCCCCTAGCCCGACTAGTGAAACAAGCTGCGGGCACGAGTCGGCAAAGGCGACGGCACTTCATAGAGACGAACATGTACGTCCTGATATTTCGGGTTTAGGAGTTTAGGGTGGTCTCGAGGCGTCTGGCTGGGAGTACGCGTCTCGTGGCCTATCACACCTCGAGAAGGTGCACGTCTGAGTCGAGGATTTGCGGAAAGCGGTCTTGCGCAAGATTTTATGGGCCGCAGAAGATTGCCTGAGCATGCTCTTCAAGCAGGGGTGTGAAACGAGCGCAAAACTTGCGCCACGCCATCACTTGTGCACCCACCAGACATCCTTCCGCTTGTTTTCGAACCTGCTCAATCTGCATGGATCCATGCCTACAAAGCAATATAATAGATGGGTCTGGGTGCGAACCCTCAAAAATGCAGGAGCCGCAGCAATTTCGCCTCTTGTACGCCGAATGGACAGGCGGCCCGTATTGGAACTTGCCATCGAACTCGACGTAGAGGATGTAGTTGAGTGCTGCCATGTTCCTGAGTACCGTGTCCCAACAAAGCAGCTGGCCGCAGCTGAGGCTGTAAAACACCCTAAGAATCACAAGACCCTGAAATGGGATAGATCACGGAAGCCTAAAGGATAGGAGTCGAAGCGAGATGACTAGATCTGTCGCGGCTCAGGTTGATGTCCTCGTTCTTCTGTCGGATAGCAAGCGCAGGATCCTGCAAAACCTGCACCATGCGAGACAGGAGCTTCAGCATCATATCGCGCTGGCCGCCCGTGAGGCCACAGTTGAGGATCTTCAGTTCTTGGCAGGCCATGCAGTCAGGTCAATGAAGCATGCCCTGGCGGGACACATTTTTCCAAGGCTGGCACTGTCCGTAACCTTGGTGGTGTACCACTGGTTGTACTTACCGCCCATCTTCTGGAAGCGGGCCTTCATCCACGGGTGCTTCTTCAGCCTGCAAGCCAAGGGCCCAAAACCCACCCACGACTCCGCTGAAGTTTGCCAGGTCAGCCTAAGCCTCTTACCTTTGCTGCGATTCGCAGCGGAAGTGCGCTGATCACAAGCTTTTTCATATCCTTGTACGCATCATGCTAGTCGTACCCAGGCATGCGTCCTTTACCTATCTGCGCGGGGAGAGCAGGATGGAAAAGTTTCATCGCAGCAACACACCAACACCCGCTCGAGCCCACAGGCCTGTCTTGCTCACCTCCGACATAGATCTTGCCGGGCTGCATGCCAGTGCATGGATTCATGCCCGATCTCACGTCGAATGCATCAACCTGTCCAGTGAGCATGGTAAGTGACAATGCCCGGAGTACTAGAATGAAAGGCCAGCCAGCTGCTCACCAGCTGCACTGCAGAAACAAGATGAAATGCGGAAATACGTGCCGACATGGGGCGATAAAGATATACTTCCAATCTCGGTTTTGCTGCACCAACCTCTCAAAAAAGAAGTAGCGCACATCATTGACCCCATACCTGTCATTGCGTTGAACTTGGACATGGGTTGCGGGGCTGGCTGGCCGTTGCAGGAGCACCTTTTGTCAAATTGTGTGAGATTGACTTGCACAAACCGGAAGCGCTCGCTGGCATACGCATCCTCAGGGTGTTACGAATCTCACAGCACAAACCGTGACAGGTCAGCCGTTGAACGAAAGCTGCAGCAGAGTCTCAAGAAACTCCTGCGGAAGCACATCATACAGAACGCTCACACTGAGGCCGTTGGTCACAGCCGTCTGGTAAAGCTTCCTCAGGTCAGGCTGTGACATGTCAGCAAACGGAAGTTGAGCGATGATGCGATTTGACTCTGGTGTTCCGCCAGGACTCTGAATTTTGGAAAATGTCGGCTTGACGTATTTGCCCCGCTGCCAATCTTTTTTGGTTGTAAAATAGCTTGTTAAAATCATGAGCCTTAGGACAAGCGAGGGGCAAGACCGTACTGTAGCGCCACATTGACACGAACTTTGAAGGCCGACCAAGGCTTCAGGCCCACAGTCAGCGCTCTTTGGAACTGCTCCGGGCTCGCATTTCGTCCGTCCAACACCACAAACCGTGGCTTTGCCGGACCTCTGAAGACAACATCCCGCCTACCACACGACGACACTCTGCGACACTCATGGTGTCGTCGTTTCTGTGCCAGGGCGGCGGACACGCTGAACAGGCCGGCACAGCCAGCCATCGCATACCTTGGCCGATGCATTTTCCAACGTGATGTGGCGTGCGCTGCGAAGCTCATGGCCCCACGGCAAGTTAGACTGCAAGAGCAAACCTGCACCCACTAACCAGATATTTCGCTGAGGACACGACATCCCATCCGCCTTCGGCGGATCCAGACAGCCGTAGGACTTGCCCATCACACAACTCGCACCTCGTAGAGTCACCGGATCTTCTATATTCCTCTAGGTCATGTGTTGGCAGCAGCCCACATCCAATGTACAAGGGAGTCGCGGCGGCTCTACCGCTGCAGAGCGCACACGCATGCCGTTGCTTCCAACCCAATTTATTTCTCCGGCACGCGCTGCCAGACGGCACCGTCCTGAATCGGTAATTTCGGATTGGCTTGAATTTGGCTCGTGCCCTCTCCGGACCATCAAGTTGGCTGTGGTCCGATGTCGGGCTGCGCGCTTCTACGTGCAAAAGGCTGCGATTCATAGTGGACCGCAAATCTAGAGAGGCACAGGGCATAAGGCATGGACCTGCTTCGACCCACTCATCCAGCAGCCGCACCTGCCGAAGACTTTTGCACACACACACACATACACACAATCTATGCCGGGAGGATGGGGAGGAGATAGGGGTTAGTTGCGACAAGGAGAAGGCAAAGCTGACGGCGGCACCGAAGGACAAGCTTCTCGGGCAGCTTGCTCTTCGGGGCTAAGGGTCGTGGTGACAGCGGGGCCGCCTGATGAAAAGTCAGACGGGAGAACATCTCGAAAGCGATCTCTTTGTCTCTCAGCTCTCCACTCTTTTTCGCTTTCGGTTTCGGTGCCGTCGATCCAGCGTCCGGTGGCCTTAGCACCATCTGCACTGGCTCCGCTTCTCGGTCTGGGCTTGGCTCGGCTACCGACTTCTGAGTGGAGCCCCCGTCTGCGCTTGCACTGTACGGCTTCAGCAGAGAATAGAAGCCCTGGCGATGTGGTAACCACATCTCCCTGTAGAGACCATCCTTGGCTAGACGGCTAGACAGCATCAAATTTGATTGCAGGCCAGCTCGTTTCCAGACTGCTCAGAGCGAGGCAGTGTTCCACGGCTTTTTGTTGCCGTTCCAATGCAGCACTTTCTTTGTTTGAAGCTTTGCTGCACTCATGGTCTTGCGCCAACCTGGAAGACAGGACTTCTACTGCCTTGCGCCAACCTTGCTGCTACACTCGTTCTGTGGCTGGTACCCAGATCTCCGTAGTTCCACTCGGCCGGAAAGACGATGTAGTCTTTTTCCTCTCCCTTCGTGCATGTAAACAAATAACAACAAAGAAAATGTTCGCGGGGAACCAGTGGCGAAACGAATGGCTCAATGCTTGCCTGTTTGAGGTTGAGAAATGCCAGCAGCAAAGGCGGCTGAGAGCCACCAACCTATGATTGCTCTCACCGCTACAATTGACGTCAGGACAGAAAGAAAGAGAGAGAGAGGGAGAGATGCGCACGCGCACAAACCCCCGCACAAACAGACACACTTGTGCAATCTTCCGTGTGATTGACTTGCTTTGCTTCTGAAAGCCAGAGAAAGCCGTGGATGCATGCAAACACACTTTGTGTGGAACTTTTTGCAACAAGGAAGTGACTCCTTGTGAAGCCTTTAATGCAAAACATAAGCCTCCTTCCAACGATGAAAACACGTGAATCCGAGGAGCCCAAAGCTTGCCGCCACAGCGGTTGTGCTGCGTGACAAGCTCTTCCACCCTCTCCACCACATGCCTCAAATCAGAAGGCTTCGGCTTCGTGTCGCGCTCTTTCCCAGCTCTTAGTGGCTGAAGGCATTTTTTCCAAAGTAGTATCGAGAATGAACGAGTCTGCAGGTTGTCCTCGTCTTTTTTTGCAAGTTCATTGAAGATCGGGGTGTCGGACCGCAGTGTACCGAAATTAGATATCAAGGAACATTACAATTACAATTCCAAACACGGCCCAACAGTAGGAGTCAACTCTCCTTCGACATGATCCCTGTCCTGAATGTGACCACACTGTCCATAAGCCCGTCCATCTCTCCATCATTCGCAGCATCGTTCTTGGACATGCACGTGGCTGTGACCATCAATGGTGCTTGATACCCACTGCCCCGACCAACTCGGCGAGTTTGCGCACCCGGCCGTCCCCCCAGGCGTGAAACTGCGCTTTGTCCGGGTGCTGCTAGAACCACCGGACGTAGATGCATCTCACCGGCCCTACCTTCCGGCTTGTTCTCTATCTGCCTCTTCTCCTACATTAACCAACCCTTGAGAAACTCAGCGGCCATGAACAAACCAAGGCCTGCCTGATCCTGCCTGTATCGCTGGGAAACTGAACAATGCCGTACAACACCCTTATATGATGAGCACCTCAAAGTGTGTCTTACTCTCTCCGCGCTTCTACTTCCTGTCCTGGCTGAAGCAGGGAAAATTGCCCAACCAGCCCGATTGATTTCACTTCAGCCACTCTGCCCCATAGTTCGTTTGCGCACCCATTTTCCTGTCCCCTTCGGCAGAGCTGAAGAGCATTCCGGCGTCACTGCAACACTGCGACGAGGAGCTTCAACGTGCTTACTGTACCTCTATAAGGGAACGATCTATCTCAATTTGTCTATCGCGCTTTCACCTCGAATGTGAAGCTGCAGCGGTCTGCAGCGGCTTCCGGGAGTCTTGCTGGTCTTTCCAGCGCTGGAGGTTGACTGCGAAGACTCCCACGTTGTA